CTAGTAAGAAGGAGGCTCAAGGGTCAAGAAGTACATCCAAGAACGAGGGATAGATACACCCGTACAAAGGAAGGATGAAGATGGAGAGGGAGCAAACTTTTGTGGCGGTGAAGCAGTTTTTTTTAGTCTATGGAAAGACAATTTCTTTTTTATTTGTGTATATTTAATTTTGGGTTTGTATATATATGTTGCTGTGTGGGGTTATACACTTTGTTTTGTATTTGGTTAATAGCACCTTGTGTTTGTCAGAGTAACCGGAAACAGGGTATCAACCATCTGTGATCCAAATGATAAGTGACGACTATGGTCCTCTCTCTATTCGTAGATATGAACTAGTTATGCTTCTTAATTTTCTCCAGCTAACTTAATTTGCTATTTTTTAAAAAGACTTGAATAGGTTATCTCGCCTTATTTCTTAAAAAAAGGAAATATACTTGAGATTACACTGTAGTCAAATAATTTAGTTTAATAGTCAAAGTTACATTAATTTTGCTAGAGACAATGACATGACTTAACTTTGACAGAAAAGAGAGGACAAAGTAGATGTAATTCTCTCTTAGAATCTTTTACTATATATCAAGAAGAGAAATTTAGAGGGTCATTGGGAAGACTTATTTTTTAAGCTTATAAGTTATGTTAGTTTTTAATGGCTTTTGGTTTTTTTTATAAAGATACTATAAAAATTGTTTGAGTAGAATAATAATTTGCTTGGTCAAACCTAAAAACTAGTTTTTCAAAAGCTGAAGTAATTCGACATTTTAATACGGGACTTATAAGCTAAATTATTTGGCATTTTACCAAACAAGTGGAATAAAAAAGCTAGCTTAAAAGCTAGTTTGACTAAAAAATAAACCTCCCCAAACACCCTCTTAGCATTCTTGCTTTCTATCTTATCAAGGATGGAGGAGTTTTATTTATTTATTTTTAATTTGATGTTTCTATAATTCATTGTTAGCCTATAATCCGCATAGATGAAATTGTCCACAGAAAAGCTTTGAGAATAGCACTGTAGATTTTATGTATAATTTTGCAGTAAGTGTTCTTTCATGCAGTTTTTTCAGTATCTATATCTCATGGATACTTTGAAATTATGTAAATGATTCCTGTAATATTACAGATGCCTCATACACATTGTTGAAAAATAAAAGTTGAAATGCTACAAATGTCTTGTTTAGGCATTTATTTGAGTATTTTCTAAATACAAAGTGACACCATTATATCTGCCTAATTTTTGCTATAAAGCACTCAACCCACTTCAGTATTTGTAAATATACTACTAATTACAGAAAATAATTATAGATTGTTACATATTTGAACTTTCCACAGCACAAATGGGGTTTTGATACTCGGATGGACTTATTAAGATTTGTATTTTAATTTAGGTTACAACCAACGTCTACACACAGCAACACAACACAAATAAAAGAAAGTAAGCGGAGCAATATTTCAAACATGTCTATTGAAATTTAGATGTAGTTACGTGTTGGAATAATACGGAGCTTCAACTACTAAAAGAAAGTAAGCGGAGCAATATTTCAAACATGTCTATTGAAATTTAGATGTAGTTACGTGTTGGAATAATACGGAGCTTCAACTACTAAAAGAAAGTAAGCGGAGCAATATTTCAAACATGTCTATTGAAATTTAGATGTAGTTACGTGTTGGAATAATACGGAGCTTCAACTACT